AATTTTTTTCTTTAAAACTCTCTACAAATTTTATCGATTTAAGTATGTAAATTCGTAAAAAAGTTTTATTTTTATTTTTGTGACTTGCAAAGTGAAAAAAATCAAATATAATCTAGCTGTTTGGGACATTTTCTCATGAAGAAAATTTCCGAAAATTCTGATTTCACTTTTACAGCTGCAGATTACTTAATTGCGTTTTTTAGCTTAGTTTTTTTAGTCTTCAAACTAAAAGAAAATGCATAGCTTCGATTTCCAGGAATTTTGTTTCACGCTCAGCACCAATCAACTGCACTTTCTCCAAGCTATGTATGTGTTTGTACCAAAAATGACCACAGTCACCACCAGCAGTTTGTTTTTCGCTTTTTAGGCAAACGAAAACCATAGAAAAAGAGCCACTTTCGCTCAAAATTATAACTTTTTTTATTAACAGTGAATTTTTTGGAATAAACTAAGCATTTAACTTCCATTTTGTTTAACCCTTGCGAATAAAATGTTTCGGTGGCACAAAGGTTTGATCTAACCAAATAGAAGAAGCTGAAATTTTTTAAAGCTTTTGCTTTGTATTTACTTCTTTTCAAAATTTGCGAATGTTCTGCGCTATATATTATTGAGATATAATTAATTCATTTTTTTTTTGTTAATATTTTCGTTGAATTTATACCAAAGCAAATGAATTCAATTTTCCAGGTTCCATTAGACTCAATTTTCAATTAAAAATTTCGCGAAAATTTAATTAACCGGAAGGCAGGCTAATGACGTTTTAATTATTTACTAAATTTGCATTTTAATGAAATGAATACTCAAGCCAACAAAGCGCACGTACAGCTGCAAATCGATGGCAACTGATACATGAACATTAGGGCGAGTCAATTTTGTATGGAAGATTTTTTACGACGATGCGCGATAGCACAGTTGGATTCTGCTGTAATTCTTAGCAAATTTACTGCAGAAACAATGGGTAAAAAATCAATTTGGAGTTTGCCGAATTGCGAAAATTGGTTTACTAGCATTTTGCTGTGGTGCCGTCAAGAAGTGCTTAAATTTTGTATAAAAAAAATTCTATAAGGGGATTTTTGGTATGAGGAGTCCATTTCTGCACTTATCTTTTTTCTTAAAACTGCCACCAGAGGGCGCAACAGTGAAAATTATAATATTTTCTTTAAAACCCTTTTTCGCAATTTGAAAACTCCAAATTAATTTTAGACCAATGATTTCTTCGCCAAATTTGCTTAGAATTACACGTAGAATCCTCCTATACTATACGCGCACAGTCAAACAAAATTTACTCGCCGTAATGTAAATACACATGTACATGCGTCTTCATGTATGATATACATAGACAGGAACACTGGCATTGATATGCATCTACACTTCCATATGCATATCTACGTGTGCTTTTAATTACCCATATTCGTGTCATGACCAGAAAAGTTATTTACGTGCCGACTAGCTCCAACAGCTTTTCGGTTGAAACAAAAATATTTTAGTCTGATATAACCGAAATTGGCAAATTTTTCCATTTTCGCACATAACAAGCGATTTTCGCTGTGGCCTGTTGCTGCAATTTGCGCTGCGCCACTTCGATTCGCAAATTCTCACCAATGCAAAACGCCACCCTGTGGCTGAGTGCAGTCGAATAGAAACGTTTATGGCGGCGTAAAACATATGCACAGGCGCTTAGCGTAGGCTCTAATACACTTGCCATTCATTATTGGCACACAAATGCATAGATAGAAATATGTGGAAAAAAGTGATAAATAATACTGTAGGTCTGTTTACGTGACTGAATGTTAACACAAATGGATGACTGGGCGTATGAGTATTGCCTGAACAATTAAAAATTTTTGGTAAATGTTTAGCGCGTCATTTTTGTAGGCACTTTTTGCTGGAATTTCAAAACCAAAACCCAATATTTAATACATATTTACATAACTCCAATTTATTGTGTACTTTGATCTTCAAAATCCCCAAAAAATTTAACCCATTTCTCCAAATTTATGCTAATTACTCACATTTTCGACACTTCTGTCTCTTTGTACTCATAATCTTCTGGAAATTGTGCTCTTTAGCATAAATTTAGTGCGCTTGTGGTCGCATGTTGCATGAGGTATTAGCTTTTTTGTTAAATAGCCTCGCATATACATACATACATACAAGTGTAACCAGATGCGTAAATATTTGCCTTTTGGCTGAGTGCAGTCGAGGAGATAACTTTTGTGGCTTTTTAACTGGCTTAGTGGCTTAGAGCGCAAATATTTATGCGATAAGTGTACATACTTAAGTTACATAGCAAGTGCTTAACACGATTTTTTGCTTAAATATTTTTGCTGAAATTTTCAAGTGCAGAAAAACGAATTTTTCAGAGTTTTACACAAATGAAAAACAAAACTAAATAAAAAATATGGCATACAAAACGTACCAGTTATCTATGTGAACTGCCGTTTAAGGCCATCGGTGGGCTAATTTGATTGAAAGTGAAAATATGGTGCAAAAAAAAAACGAAACAATGTAATAATTGGCAACTCTATTCAATGAAAACATAGCCATCGGAGTCTGTTAAGCAATCCTTAGTTTTATAATTTTTATAAAGGAACTTCGACTTTTTTTGCTTACTAATTTTTTTGAGGTACAAATAAATGTACCGTTGAACCAAAAAGTTGCCAGAAAATCTAAAAAAGTTGCAAAATCCACCTCAAATTGTTACCAAAGGGTCACTAAGCCTTAAATAAGCCCGAAACAGCCAAAAGAAACGAAAGATCACAAAAAGTGGCAAAATTTTTCCCTAGTCCCTAGAGCATACGAAAAGTGGCAATAGCTCTCGAAAAAGTCCCAAGAAATTGCCGAAAGTTTCGGAAAGATCCCCCACAAGTATGAAAATATCTCTAAAGATAATAAAAACTTCCAAACGGTACTTGAAAACTCCCTGCCAACCCAAAAAAAGCACGAATTGTGACCTAAAGTTGTGAGGAATGCCGTAAGAATACTATCAAAAGCCCCAAAAGTCTCGGAAAAAGGTCTAAAAGTTTCGGAAAAATCCTAAAACAGTGCCAAAAATTCCGACAATCTCCAAAAAGTCCCGTTAAGTCACGTATAATCTCGAAAAAGTCCCGATAGTTTCACTTCTATAGTCAACACATTCAATTCATAGAAAAATACTTTATTATTGAAAATTCACCTGCACTGTACCATTTTCATTAAGTCTAAAAGGACATCTACAAATTAGTAGCAATGCTGTATTTTTCATTTGACTCATTGTTCCATTGATGGACAGACATTTGGTAGCCAATTTCACTAAAACAATGTTGTCGTTGCCACAAATTAGCGCAAGAAAGCAGAAAAGAAAAATGAATGCAGATAAAAGGCCACCTGGAGCCGCTAAGAAGAAAATTTCCACGCTTGGACGAAGCATACATAGCTTTGGAAGCACGCCAATGTCAGGGCGAAAACATGGCATAAAAAATGTAATAATGTTAGCGATGGCAAGAAAAACACAACTGCAAAAATTTATTAGCCGCTGAAAACTTGCTCTGGTGCCACTTTACTGCTGTTTGACATGCCACTGCCGACTAGAGCAGACGCAGCACCAGCACCAGCGGCAAAGGCAACAGCAACAGCAACAAATAACAGCCACAAACTGAAAACATCGCTTCCCAACAATCGATGAATGCCGTAAATGACCGCGGCTGCAAGCGCTGTTGATTAGAAAATTTGCTTGTTTCTCACGCCCCTGTGCCGCCGACGCCGTCGTTGCTGCTCACTCGAATCGTTGCGCCGCTTCATAACCCTTGAACGAAATTGATTAATTTTTTTTTTAGACATAGTCGTTGCTATTTTTGCCTTTTGCCTTTTGCCTCTTCCACCCTCACGCGGCTTCACATTTTTTAGCCCATTGCAACGTAGAAAAAATTGATGTGTGTCAACAAATCATAAAATTGATGACTTTGTTATTGTTTGCGAGCGCGGATTGACCTTCGTGTCCGCGCGTGACCTCAAACAATAACGAAAATATATAATGGGCAGAATTGATGGCTGAACACAGGAAAATATTGCGAAGGGGAATCAATTGTAAACTGCCATGAAAAGGGTTTTGGAGCCTATGGAGTGGAACAGCTGGCATTCATAAAAATCAATTTGAAAATAGGAAAATATTAGAAGAACTTTTATAAACAGGACTGCTGGAATGTGGCAACTTGCGTGCCGGCTAGCTATGCTTAATGATTCTCCAAATATTCGCTCTTTTCCGGTCAGCAAAGCGTGATTTTAGGCGCTGTGCTCCCCATAGTGTGAGCTGGTCGGGGGCACATGTATGTATGTAGTATGTGCGTTGAGTGGCATGTTTACATGCTTGCGTGCAACGCGGAACAATGCCAAACAACTGCGACGCATAATTTTCCGGCGCCGAAATGTAATATTTACTCACACACATACATACATAAGTACATAAATAAGCTGGCATACTCACAGGATAAAGCATGCCTGTACGTTAGGAATAGAAGCCGGCAGGCAAGGGATAAGTGCGCCACATAGGAAACTGTGCCAACTGACCATCTGCTAGGCAGTTGATAAAAATGGTAATTAAGAGCACGCGCGTGCAAGCAGTTAACTGCTGGCGTAGCATACTTTGGGGAGCTACTAAATTTTTATTAACGCCAAGGCTGACGATGACGACGACTTTATTTGCACTGTATTAAATTTTGCGCTCTTCTACTGGCAAATGTCAGCAGGTATGTGGGTAAACAAGCATTTGAGGTTGTGTGGGAGAAAAAAGTGTAGCCTACTTGAGGGCGCTTCAACACAGCTTAAACTATTTCTGGCGTCAAAATTCTTTCGTTATTAATCAAGCAATATCTTCTCACTATCTGTAAATATAAATTTCTTTAGCTCCATTTCGCTAAGGAATCGTTTGATTTATTTAACTCTTACAACTCCATCTAGTTTCAGCATTTTCCTATTCCCCGATTATTTTCATTAATCTTCTCCTTTGTTCGTCCCTCACACAGAAACCCCACTATGGCTGCTGTTACAGGTTGCGCCCATACGCAACGAAAGGGATTTGGTTGTGCTATTTTTGCTAACATTTCGGGACATAACCGCACTGAAGCAGCCAATCGACAGCGAGGACACAAAGGGTGGTAAGTAGACAAAATTAGCAAGAGGAGGTAGAAAATGTTTAGTTTAATTTTTACTAACACTAAACTTTACTCTTATAACTACTAATAGCTGCAGCTCTAGAATTCGCTAAGCTCAATTTTTGATAGCCGAAAATCTTTGAATGAAGCCTAAAAATATGCAATGTATCTAAAGAAAATAATTCTCCTTCGTATTGCTGACACTTTTATTTAGCAGCTGAAGATGCTTTTAAGCTGCATATTTTTGGGCTCATCCGTTATTCATAGAGCGACGTTTGGTGATAAAAAAAATTTAGCTTAGTGACTCCTAAAATCCCATGCCTGATTCAATGAAAATGTACGCAATGAAATATTTACTAACCCTGAGATTCTGTGCACTTGACAAATAATCAAACTTGATTATTTGTAAAAAAATTCCGCCTAAAACTATGCCGCTTAGATTTCTCTGTATTTGACTAAATTTTTTGTGCATTTTTGAAGCGCCTAAAATTAATTTTTTGTAGCATAGTTTTAGTCGTAGTTCTTTTGATCAAGCTTGACAATTACACCGAATTTGGATGTAAGAATAAATAAAAATTGATAATTGCATTGCAGACATTTCTATTGAATTAAATTTAGTTCAAGCTGTTTGCCGAAGTCTTTCGAACATTTTAATTGGATTTAAAGTACTTCAACACATTTAATGGCTTTAAATTGATAAATTAAACTGACGAGATTCGCCTTCAAACATACTGACATTGCAGCGGCAGTCCCATTAGGCGGCAAAGGATACAAAAATTTAAAGTTTAAATAAAGTTTGGTAGCTAAAACGCTTGCTTACTTTTAGGCGCATATTTTTCCCGGCTACTTGAGGAAGCTTTGGCATTGCAGCTCAGTTTTAGCTTTTGCATGAATACTGGAGACTAGACTACATTAGAATTTCTAGACTTTTTT